TAGACCCGGCAGGTCTAGCTCGACACAGAAACATCTTCAAAAAGGTAGGTGCGGTACTTTAGCCAAACGAAACTGTGCTAAGCTCAAGGAAAGCGGTTACGATCAATCGAAGTGCATTGGGGAAGTATGCTATGCACCACACGGAGCGTTACCTTGGCTGCCACAAAACGCGAGGTTAGCGTTTTCACGACGAAAGGTGCGCTGGTTGCTGAGCAGTACTTGAAAAGCGCCACACCTTTTGAGCGCTCCACCCACCACAGTTTAGTTGGTGATTTGGACGAGCTGTGTTGCCAGCAGCGGCACAACTGGAGCAACTCGACTGGAGCATGGTTTGGCATGGTGCCACCAAACGCGTTGCGGTAACTCGTCCATACGTCCGCCGTCTTAGCCTTTGCCCGTCCATGAGCGAAAGTCAACGGCCAGACATGGAGTACCCGTTTTGTGTTTTCTTAATGGATTTCTCTGCTTTTTCGACACTGCATACCAATGAGCACCCGCACGTCCCCTCAAAACCCCTCCAGAACCCTATCGTAATCGCTGAAATGAAATTATTGACTAGCTGTACCTGTTTATAACTCCCGCAATAACGAAGGTGAAAAATGATAAACAACATTCAAAACGGTAGGTAATAACCATTTCGAACGTTCATCATTGCCGAGTTTATTTTTCTGGAAGTGTTTGGAGCATTTGAACGAAAACAACGTTGATAAGGACCGGTATAAAATGGGTTGAAGGGAGGAGATAGGTCACTTTCGGTCAGTCGGTCAATCTTCGTACGTTCTAAAAGCTATGCCGAATCCACCTCCGAAAGAGGACACATGGGCGTTCCAGAAGATAGGAACTCCCTATCCACCGAACCCTGTTAAGGTAAGCTACTGCAATTTTTGTGGTCTAGCGGCGTTCCTCCATAATGTCCCATTGCAGTGCTTAGGGCAGCAGAATATGTATGTCGCGCTATGGTACAAACATGGAAAACCGATCCATGGCCGATCATGGAACAACGGAGGAGTTGTCGAGTGTTCATTCCCCTACAAGAAAGCCGAATTGAGAACTGCCCAACAACTGGAGGGAAATATTCAAGTGGGTTAGCTGGAGATCCTTCTATTGGCAACCTTACAACCAAATACTTCCTTTAGGTACTCCAATACACAGGAGATCATAATACACAAGGATTCTGGTACGAATGGATTCTGTATAAAGATAGGTTCGACAAAGCAGAAGGCCGTCAACTCCTTCACTGCGGAGACTCATTCCCCATTCTATGGAAGGACCGGCCTGAGGTACACACTAACACCGTAGAACAAATCCTAGGTAGACATTGAAATGGTAGAGGGATGAGAAGCATTTAAAGCGCATACCAAAAGGCCAAATTCAAGGCCAGGAGCACATTCCAGAAGGAAAAGCATCACTGTCTTAGGCCGACTGCTCACTTCAACCACTCCTAACGAAGACTGTACTTTGAAATGAGTATCGACTTTTCGGCCACAAAACAGATAGTCATGTACGGTACATCAGCCACCTCCACCTTTGTTTACAAAAGGTACCTTTCATCGTGAATCCCGCTTTGAACTGTTAGCATCATCATATGCTTTCGTTTTGAAAGTTTTGCAAGTTTAAAGCCTTTTCCGCCGCTTTCGC